ATCTTGCACCGACTGTGGGCTATGACCGTGCAGGTGAGCAGCAGAGATGGTAAACTAGGGGATGGAATTACTTGCAGTAACTATCTGGGTAGCTTTAAAGATGGATTGTGTCTCATCATTTGTGTTCTTCTTGCATTTCTGAGCTATGGACTGTAAAGCTGCCCTGCTCCGGTGCTTTGCCAAGTTGGACTTGAATGTTTCAAGCAATAGTGCTCTGACCGTTTGCTGTGATAGATTCTCTCCATCCTGATGGGTGCTGGTTTTCACATGTTTTCCCTTTCAAGGGAAAAGGTGATTTCTGCTTCTGCTTTGGTAGAGGTGTGTCAGTATTGGCACTGGCATGGCTTAGCCTGTATTGTTTTGTTGGGTGGGGCGGGGGAAAGGGGAGAGAAGATATAACTGGGTAATTGGATTCGGGGATGATTGTGCTGCTATGGTAGGTTTTACTGGATGAAGCAGCTTGTTGCGATAGGTGTTCGTTTCAGCTTCTGTCTGCAGGTGTGACTTGGCTAGATAAGGATGGTCTATCACGTTGATGATTTCATTGTTTGATTTGGCTGGACTGGGTGGAGAATAGCTGCATTGTTTGGGACTAGCTTTGTAGTTTGGTTTTGTTGAAGTGGATTACATGGCAGCGCATTGCTACATTATTAAGGTGAAGCTGCAGCAGATAATGGTTTGAGAATGTTGGAGTGAAGAGAATATGCACAGGATTTCACAATGCGTAACTAATTGAGCCTCACAGCAGCTCCTGTGTTCCTGTTGGGAGATCTGGTCAGTAGAACGCATTAAGATTACGCAGAAAACCTCTGGTAGTGATTTCAGTTTGCAGTTGTACTTTAACTGCAAGACTGTCCATGCTGTGTAAATAGCTGAGAGTGCTCCGAGAGACCACGCTGGCCATGACAGTGTGAATGTTGTCTGGATTCATGCTGTCCTTGCAGAGTCTCCAGTTTTCACAGTGGGTGAGGGAGAAGCTGGCGGGTATCTGCTCTTTCTTTACTGACCTCAAATTTACCATTGAGCCATGCCTCAGAGTCTGCGTTTCTTTGTATTATGGAACTTTAAGACACTTAAATGTTCTTTAACATGTGAGTGAACATTAATTGACACAGGTTTGTCTCCATTACTGAAAGTGTGGCTGATGGGTTCTTGGGCCATGAACTCTTCTGGCCTTATAGGAAATAACCATAGTGTAAGGTGGGGCTAGCCCCTCTATCTTGATCAAACTTGCAGTATGCCTTACTTGCGAAGGTTTGCAGTTGGATTCCCTTCACCCGGTAGTGTAGCATAATGATGTGAAGTAGGACCTGCCAGAACAGTAGCTAGTTCTTCTTACTTCTCAAACCTGCCTGGTTTTCCCCTAGATGTGATTGCCTGGCTTTACCTGGTGCTTGGTGTTTTTATTTATACATTTTCTGGCTGTGGAGGAGGTTGTATATATGAAGCACAGGGGTTTGGCAGAAGTTGCTGGGCACACAGTGAGGGGAAGGTGAGCCTTTGAAGAGAGATGGATGCAGAGAAGGGGAGGTTACATGTCCAAGCTTTGTACCAGTTTCTCTAAGCACAAATGAGCTCATGGGAATCCAGGTAGCTCAAATGTGGGAGTGCTGAAGCAGGTTTGACCTATTTCCCCTCCATGTGCAGCACAGGTCTTCCAGTCTGATGGTGGCTTTTTCAGTGCTGACAAATCTTGTCAGTCTGAGCACAGGCTTCCCCTTGTCAGTGGTTCAGAGCAAGTTTTGATTCCTCTGCTTCTGTGGCCGTTTGCATGTGGGAGACACACAGCTTGGCTGTGCATTCTTGTCGGTGAAACTCTTCTTCTCCCTTCTTTTTCCAGGTGATCTTTTCTTGTGAGACGAGTGGTTCACAACTCATGGCCTTCACAATGAGTACTGCAGTGTCGTGACACCAGGGGTCTCGGTAAGCTGCTTGTTGGAAAGGCAAGGACCTGTTGTATCTCCACAAATGCGGCTCCATCTCTCTTTGTCTCTGCAGTTGAGGTTTAAAGTAATTTTAAGCATTTAAGCCATCCAAATTGTAAGCTGCAACCAAGTGGGGTGAGGCTGCTTTTCACCTGTTCTCATCTCCTCCTTTGAGCTTGCAGTGGCACTGATGTGGTTATGTGATCAACCAGATCAGGGGGACTAATCCAGATGAATGGAGATTTCTACTGTTTCCCTTGGGTTAGTTTCCATTCAGATCTTTCCCTGATGTGGTCAGCAGAGAGGTGATGAGAATGAGTAGCCAGTTGAACCACCCCTTTTCCCTGCAGCTGTTGCCTGGCATACCTTAAAGCAGTCTTGAAAATACAGCATTGGATGTGGCTTGCCAAAATGTCTTGAAAAGTGGCTTGACCATTCACTGTCAGTGACCCTACCTTTAATTTTAGAGCAATGATAAAGGCTTTGCTATGGCAGGCAGACTCCAGCTGCAAAAATACATTTCTCTAGAGCTTTTCCATTATTGAACCCTCGATTCCCAGACATACATGTGTTAGAAGTGCATTTAGAAAAATCATGAGGCATTCCATTTCACATTATAAAAGATGGTACATTCGCAGCGTACAGAAATGAGAAGCTGAGGAAGTTGAGTTGCCGTTGTTGCACCAATGAATATATTGATGTATTCTTTATAGCGCTCTCAGCTAAGAAAAAATTTAAACTGAGATTGGAAAATACAGTTCCTTTGCAGGGCATATCAATTCTAATAGATGGAAGCTATGTATATAGGATAATAAAAAAGTAGGGTTAAAAAGTTGGAGGTTTTTTTCCCCCTCTGTGAAGTACTTGCAAGTTTGGTGATGTCAGAAATATTGTGCAGCCAGTGTGATCCTGATTCTGTTCTTCATGTTTTCTCATTGCACTGTGCGAGACTGGGAGTCTGAGAAAATTCTCATCTTAGATTAAAAGGTAACCTGATAATACATAAATATGAAGAGTGAAAAAGCAGAGGATGACACAACTAGAATACTTAAGTTAATCACACGGGCATCTGCATCCTGCTTTTAGCATTGAGCTCTGCTCACTTTAATGCTATTGTTCCTTTTTTCTTTTTTTTACCTGAAATTCACGGTGTTTTCAGTCATACCTTCACCTTAAGTGAGGACCCTGAAGTATCACTGAGTTCAACGGACTTCTAGAGATGCATAAATCTCTTTTGAAAAGTGGAGTTAGGTGCTGTTGATAATGTTACGCTTTTGTTGTCAAAACAGACAGGAGCCAAATTTGCATGCAAAGATGGTACAATGTAGATACTTGTGAAGATATTCTGTCTTGTCTTTAATGTATCTGTGTAGCACCAGCTCCAATTACAGCATGATAGGAGTAACAATAGTAATAGATTAACTCCAGCATTGTTCTCAAAATCAGTGGGCTAGCCAGCTGACAGCCCCAGAGAGGCATGTGGATCCTGTGGAGTGTGTGGCTCAGACTGGAGTTCATCTGATTGTGCCTAATAGGAGGCATTAAAAATGAGACCTTTATTGCAGAAACGTTCCTCACGTTAATGGGCTTGCACAGCACAGTGGAAGTGAGAATAGGGAGCAGGATAATTTTTGTGGCTCATGAAGGAGGCATGTGCTAGAGGGAATTTTTGGAGATGATGCAGAGCTTCATGGAACAACTGCTGTGTGAAGCACTAGAATGTTAAAGTACAGAAGTGCAAAGTCACTAAAAAGTGTAATGGCACAACTTCACAACAAGATAAATTTGGGGGACTGGAAAACCTTGATGCTCAGTGCTACAAGTTACTGATAGCTTGCCTTGGCCAGACGTGGTCATATAGTGCCCGTGTTTCTTAATCCTCTGGTGTCAGCACATAAGCAAACCAATTTTTGTTTTCTAAATGCAATTTGAACAGTAGTTTCTTCATAAAATTCAAGACACTCCCAGGCTGGGGAGATTTATTTTGTTTCATTTGATATACACAGGAAGAAACTGCTTCTTTGGTGCTGAGAAGGAATAGCGGGAATATTTACATTTGAATAATATTTAACTAGCAATGCTTAATACATTAACAATAAATCTTGGTTAGATTCTAAATTAAGTGGATTTGCATCTGAGTAGGTGAGATGAACAGGAGAGATTTTGTTGAAACATAAACAAGACAGAAATTTGTTCCAAAATAATTTAGCCCAAAGGACGTAAACAGTAATGTTCAATAGTTTCCTCCTCCAGAAACAGTTTTATGTGCCTTATTGCCTGTGTCATGCATGTAGTTTCTTAGAAAGAAGCTGAAAAAGTGCTTATTTCTGGTTGTGGTTTTGGTTTTTTTTTTTTTTAAATCTTAATAGTCTGTGTTGTGTTGCTGAGCAAATTTAAAGGGGTAGTTCTCTACTGATCTTTTGGCCTTTCTAATAGATATAATGAGTGACTAACCTCTGGTATTTTCAGAGTAATCACAGCATACTTGACTGCTTACAGGTGGTCAGGAAGGCATTTTATTTTATTTCCCTCCTTTTGTGCGACGCTTAGCACACATCATTGAACGTATGTCTAGTTATATTGGTCCAAGGAGACAGAAAAGATTTGAGCAGAGTTTTTGTTCTTAAGAAATATCAGGTAATGGCCACTCACAGGGGAATTCTGGATAGCT